ACATTATTATCATGATACATTATACATCTTTACATCACAAAAATATCATATACACATATTGTCATATGTTAACCCTTCACAAGTGGCAATTAATGTGTCTTGACAGAGGAGGAGTGAGGGTCTTCCCACAATGCATTGCGTCTCATTATTATTCACAATTACGATTTTTGGCAAACGTTAACGAAAAAGTTGTTGAAATATATTGCGATTTTTGGCTCTGAAGATCTCGTTTTCTCGAAGGTATGTGATGATAATTGTTTTGTTTGGACATCTAATTAAACAGTTTTATATTTTTTTGGTATAGATATTGCTTTTTAGTTATGCTAATTACGCATTGTATTTATGCTTGTTTCGGGTCAATGGACACGCCAAAAAAATGGCTTTGAAATAACGCAGGAGCGAACTACCTTTTTTAATGAGAAAAGTAAAAAAAAACACGTCATCAAATTTAGGAAGACTTGCTCTTTCTGTTGGTTCTTTAAAACGCTAGATCGCTCCTCCAAATCGACAAGCAATCGCGGTTTGAAAATGGGGTATTTTTGCTATATTTTAATGCCGATGGCGGGAATAGACCGGGTGTTGATCCTTATGGCGCGAAGGAAACTATTTTCTATATCTTTGAAACATACGCATGTAGTTGTTACATATTTTGAGTGTAATGTTACCTTTACAATTATTAAAGGTCAGAATGTTAGTTTACTGTATTGACTGTATTTTTGTCATTTTGTTATAGAATTCGGACATGGAATCATGCAGATAGTAGTGATGTTGTCATTGTTAGTGACGAATGAAATGATACTGCCATATTAAAAGCGAGTATATACGAGGGTATATACGTCTAAAGGTGACACCCCAGGGAAACCTAATAATAAGAGACACAGAATTTCACGTTTGAAGAATTCAACATCAAGTCGAACTTTGTTTCAGAGTCCTGGAACATCACCAAAGGTATAAAAGTACAAAGGTTTTTACAAACATAAAATACAGTACGACTGTACAAAAACATTGTATTTTAAACACTTTAAGTGGCATACGCCCTGATGCACCCTACTTTGGTATTTTACTCTCTCTAATGCTAGACCATTTTACTCCTCAAGTGGAGAGTGCTGCCACTCAATGGGTTAATGAGACAATGAGATGTTAATGGGGGGGGGGGCTAAAAGTTATTATCATAATAATAATAACATTTTGCCTGTGAGAATTTCTGTCCATAGGCGTACGAGGCTGGGGGTTGCAACCCTCCAGTCAGTGTTCAGTTGGGCAGGATTCTGCTTTAAAAATTGGGCAATTGTTTTAAGATTGACTTCAAACAGAATTTGTCTGCATAGGAGTTATGTTCCTTCTTGTTCATCTATAAATAAACTCATGACAATGTCGGGCAATTTCTGTGCACCTGTACGCCAATGATATTTTTCAATGCTGGGAGTGGCATTTCAGAAAACCTATAGTGCACAAATTTCCTGGAGAAGCATGCCCACAATCCTGGTAAAAATCCATGAGTTTCTTTGTTGTTGTCTAATGGTGCTGGCACTGACATTGCCTCCCTCACTTTTGCTGTTTGTTTTGTAGTTTCCTATCACAAAGATTAAACCGACACCTCCAAAGAAATTCCCAGTAAAACTTCATAAATGGACATGCAAGGAAGATAAAGCATTCATTGAATTCATATCTGTTGCAGATAATCATGCGAATGATTGCAATTGAAGAGGTTTACCAATTATGTAATACCTCTAGATTGTTTTAATACATCATTAATTAAGCTCATATACTATTCATGTGTACTGGTGAAATGAATGTAATGCAACATTTTAAAAACTTCTCTTTATTTGTGCACATAAATTTTTTTTTAAAAACCATTTTAATTATCTTTAAGTACAGTAATATTATGTTAACATTTTTTTGATTTTAAAATAAATAAATTTTATAAACATCAATTATGTAGTGTGTGATCTTTTTATTAATTTGTGATGAGCAAGAGAAGACTATACACTGAAAATTGTGAATACCATACATACCATAAACCTCCGAATACAAGCCCCCCTTGTGTAAGCCCATCAAAAATCACTTACGAAAGAATATAAGCCCAGTGCTTATAGTTGGAGGTTTACGGTAGATTGTCAAAAAACTGCAGAACTGATAAGATGGTGTCCATGGGATACAATACTTATGGTATAATGGGTCATTCCAGAAAACATCCATACCACCCCCACAGAGGAAATAGGAAGTTAACCCCCCTACCCCCTTCGGATGTCCTAATACATTTACTATTATCAGAAACAAATTTTTCTCCCCCGCCCCTCCGGACGGCAGAACTTTCCTCCGTGGGGGGAGTATGGATCTTTTCTGGAACGACCCAATCAGGGAAGTGACGAAAACACACACAGTACAGGAAAACCGGGGTAGGGCCAAGACTGTGTACCACTACAGGTTCCCCAGCCCTAATTCCTTACAAAAAAAAGAAATGTCAGTATTACACCAGACACCAATATACAATTTTGCAGCTTCTGCTAAACATTTTGTTTCAATGTTTTTTAACCCATTGAGTATTTGAGTGTCAGTACTCTCCCCCTGATGAGTAAATAGTCTAGTGTTAGACAGTAAAATAATCTGGCGTTAGGCAGAGTGAAATAATAGACAACTGGTTGATCATTTAAGCATAGATAACTGGTTGATCAGTATAAATCCTTGCAATGCATCACACAGTAGTCAATACATTTATATATAGTGTCATGATAGTGCTGAATCGCCTCCATTTCATTCTCTACAATGCTATCACTGGGTGCTTCTTCCATCATTTGGTGTGTATGAATGTGTGTCAGGGCAAACAGGATTTATTGGTAAATTAAAACAGCTACAATCAGTTGGCTGATGTAATTCTATTGGTGGAAGTACACTATCCAACTCATCATCTTGACTATTTGGGATGTTGGTGATGTTGAAATGTCAAACTCCCAACAACATAATATTGTTATATTCTTCGTTTATACCTCCTTCCCGTGGATCATTAGGGTCGAAGAACTACATGATATGAAATAAAAATACGTTTTTAATAATACGTACTGCTGTATTTTTAATACAACATAGGAGGATTTTTCTATTTTTATTTAATATAAAAATCATCTCACCTTAAAAACACAACTAGAATGAATTTGTACCAGTGCAGGACTACCGCAATCAGCGAACAAATTCATCAATTTTTATCCCGTTAACCACAGCTGGACAAGGGACTATTCATCGAACTATCCATAGAACTATAAACATGAACCTCACGACATTCAAGTTCATCACACGGTAATCCTTCCGAAATTAAGATTAAAGGCTGTTTTGACACACAGTGAACACACCTCAGAACACACAGAAGCTCGTGTCCACCCAAAAACGAAGCTTTCTTTCCATGGATAGTGCAAAAATGCACCATTTTACAATTTTTTTTCTATAAATCTTTTCTGAATTTCTTGAAACCTCGAGGTGTAAACACAGCGAAAGCCGACCGAACAATGACGGCGCAGAGCGAGAAATCGATAATATGTAAAAAACCGCGCCTGACCGCGTTGCATGCCGGTATAGTCCTCACTCCTCCTCTGATCCCAGGGCTTCTGAGAGCAATAAGCGCAGAAGCCCTGGGTACGAGGTTGTGACAATCCTTATGAAATCAACAATATTTATATTAAATTAAGCATAGTTTTTCACCCCATGATAATTTTTTTTAGGAAATAAGAATATTTAATTTCGGTAATTGCTAGATAGTATACTTCAAAATAAGATTTCCGTTTTTATAACGTAGAAAAAACCATCCAAACGCAAAACTAAACTCTAACTCTAATATTAAACTTAACCCTAACCCCAACCCTAACCTAACCATAACCCTAACCTAACCCTAACTTATTTAAAAAATGATATAAAAACGGAAACCTTATTTTGAAGTATACTAT